CAGCCCTCACAAGGCATCAAACCAGTGCAGAGGCAAACTGCCCCCCAGCAGCTCACTGCTTTGGGTGGCTGACAAACCCATTCTGCTTCCAGCAGAGTACAAATGGGTCTATAAACCCTCTGCTTTCCCCATCCTGTGCATCCCTGCAGCCCTGGTGGGTCTATAATGCACAGGACAATCATTTTGGCAGGAAGGAGAGAAGGACTAGGGGAAATTTTCTGGGTTGGACAATGAGGGTTTTGTCCTGTGCTGGGCCCTGTGATTATAGTCCTGATTCTTTCTCACCCAGCAGTCAGAACCACACTGCGTTGCTTTGCTGAAAACCAAGTTTTGCAGAAGAGCAAATTGGAGAAATTGAGAAAAAACCCAAAGCCATAGAGCACATGCCTCCCTTCACCCCACAGGGACACTGATGAAACCCCCCTGCTGCTGAACCCATCCAAAGTGGGGCCTCACTGCAGCTCTCTAAAGCAGATGACAGCCCAGCTCCTGCCCTAACTATGCCACAGAGCCTCTCTTTCAGCCCCTTGGGAAGGTGCTGATGCTTTGATCAGCTCTGATATCACAATTAGACAGCATTTCTGATAAATGTGCCTCTCCCTGGGGGCTGCTGTGGGTTGTACCCTGTCTGTGAGTGTGCTGTACCTTGGAGACGAGGCTGGCCCGGTACGCAGCCAGGGCTTTCAGGTACTCCTTCTTGGCAGCTTCTGTTTTCCTCTTGTATGCCTGGAAGGACCAAGGGATGGGAAATCATTAGTAGAGGGAACAGGGGGCTGCTGGGCTTGGCTGCACCCACCTGCTCAGTGGGAACCCCCTTCAGTGGGGCTCTGTGCATGAAAAACTCAATTCTGCTGCAGGGAAATTTACACCAAACCAAGAAAATGAAGCTCCTGGATTGGACCATGCTGGGAGTTTTGATCTGATCCCGTGCTGGGATCTCTGGTCAGAGTGGTCTGTGTGTTTAGACAGGTAAGAGACACAGTCTGATTTTATAAGGTGAACACAGTGAAATCATGTCCCAACAAGAAACAGAGTAAAGAGTGATCCAGTCTCTTGGAAGAGCAAGACAAAAGCCCAAATCCTCAAATGACAGGACTGTCTTTAAAGTGCCTTCCAACTCAATCCATTCTATGATTCTGTGATGATGACCAGTTTAAAAACACCTGAGGCAATCAGAATTCCTAAAGTATCAGTTTGTTTTCTTGGTTTTCCCAATATTCTCCTTTACAGCTTAAAACCCCAGCTATTCCCTGAAGTCTGGACAGCTGGGAACTGCTTTCTGATCTTACAAAAACTGAGATTTTTGCCTTGTGTTATGACTTGGTGAGCTGGAGATTGCAGGGAAGCAGCAAGTACCAGGACAGTTCACTACCCCAAGAAAAAATAAAATATTTGAAAGAATGAATTATGGTTTATTTTTCCATTTTTTCCCCATAATGAGAAATGTCTCTTGATCATGTCAGTGCTGGTCCCTGTCCTGCCTGGATCCTGGTTCTCCACATGGAGGTGAAGACCTGCAATAAATAATGGTGTGATCCACTCTGCCCCCAGCAGTGAGTCCCCATGGGATGACACAGATTAAACTGAGCAAAGGAGTTATTTTAAAATGGAATAAAAATTTCAGGATAAAGGCAGGAACTCCCAGAGAAAATACCCACCAACCCTCTTTTCCACTGGAAACCTAAATCCTTCCTCAAGTGATGCACTGAAAGTTGATTTCAATTAGAACAGATTTGCATGTATTTAATTCAGCTTTAAAACCAACAACAGCTTTCAGCAATTGAAATGCTGAAGCCTGGTGGGCACATTCTCTGCCCAGGATGATTTAGGTTGAATATTGGGAAGAATTTCTCCATGGAAAGGGTTGCACAGCCCTGGAACAGGTTGCCCAGGGAGGTGGTGGAGCCACCTGGATGTGGCATTCACATTCTCTGGAAAAATCCCTTCTCCCAGGGTTTTTCTCCTGGGAAGCTGTGAAGCCTCAGAGAAAAGGAAAACAATTCTTATCTCATTTGCTTCTCCTGTGCTGTGCTCACATGAGGAATGTGTTTGGAGATTGTTCACCCACAGGTGATTGTTCCATTGCATTCTGCTGGGAGTTGTTTTCACTCTTTGGCCAATCAGGGCCAAGCCGTGTTGGGACTCTGGAGAGAGTCACCAGTTTTCATTGTTCTCTTTTTAGCATTCAGTCAGTATCCTTTCTGTATTCTTTAGTATAGTATAGTATTCTTTAATATAATATAGTATCATAGAGTAATAAATGAGCCTTCTGAGAACATGGAGTCAGATCCATCATTCCTGCCTTTGTCTGGGGGGAACCCAAATACAAGAGGTGGCTGTGGCAGTGCTGGGCTGACAGTTGGACAGGATGATCCTGAAGGTATTTTCCAACCAAAACAATCCCACAATTCTATGATTTAGCTTATTTCCCCTGCAAATTTTCATGGCCATGGCAGACTCCCTCCCAGCACTGACCTCTGAAGGGAGAGTAACCTTCCAGCAGTTGAACTGAATGTGAGTTTAAAATCAGTACAGATAAATTCTATTAAAAATGGATTGAAAGCCTTATTTTCATTGCTAAATCACAGTGAGTCCTGTAATGAAACGTTTTGACTCGACACACTGGAGGTCTCAGATGGCAATTTTCTGAAATGGAGCATTTCTCTACGTTTGTCTTTGGCTTTATGGCATTCAGGAAATATTACATTTGCTCCATTCAGAACAAAATTACTTTTCAAAATGTCAGCCTGAAGAAGAGTTTGCCTGTGAAAAGTAACTATTTCTTCAAACAGTATCAGTTCCCTTAATAAAAGCTATTACCTTTCTCTACAATCTCCAGATCTTTTATTATAGAATCAAAGAGTGGTTTGGGTTGGAAGGGACCTTAAAGCTCCTCCAGTTCCATCCCCCTGCCATGGGCAGGGACACCTTCCACTGGGGGAGGTTTGTGCCCATCACAGCACCACAGAATTTATTGTGTTCAGCTGCAGAGCTGGTGGATGCTCTTAAATGTGGTACCTGATGCCCTCACAGCAATGAAATAGGAATTCCTGTATCTCAGTGTTTAAGAGAGGGCACAGCTGGGTGCTGCCCTATGGAGAAAATTTTTAATTATTTTTCCTCTATAGCAGCAAAATACAAGAGTACTTTTACCTTTTTTTCCCCCCAGTATGGTGGGAAAACAAAGTATTCAGAGCTATGCAAAGATAAATTTAATTATTAGCAAGACTTGCCTGGAGCAAAACCTGCAATTTCTGGACAGGTAAATGAGACTTCCTAAAGCTGAATGCAAATAAATAAATAACCAATAAAGTCTATGCCTATCTTCATCCCCATCACTTGCTTTTCCTGCTAAACTCCTTTTTTTTTTAATGCCACTCTTCATTTGTTCTTGTCTCTTTTAGAGATCTCGTGTTGGGATGTGCTGCTGGGTGGGGTCTGGTGCAGGACTGGGCAGGGGCAGCCAATGGCTCATTGGAGCTCAAGCCTGGCCACCAGCAGGGTGAGCTCAGGGACTGTGCTCTCTGATGTTTCTCTGGTGAACTGGAAGTTCTGGAAGATTCCTGGTGGATTATTTTAATCACAGAATCCCAGGATGGTTTGGGTTGAAGGCAGTGTTTTGATCCACCCATGCCATGGCAGGGACACCTTCCATGGTGTCTCACCATGGTCTATTCCACCACTCCATGGGTGCCATGGAATTGGCATTCCCATGGAATTGGTTATTCCACCATCCCAGGGCGCTCCAAGCCCCGTCCAGCCTGGCCTTGGACACTTCCAGGGATCCAGGGGCAGCCACAGCTTCTCTGGGTGACGTGTGCCACCATCCTCATTGTAAAGAACCATCCCTAAGGGTCTCCTGTTGGGAATTTTGCAGTCCTGCCCTGCACCCACACAGGGCTCCCTGCCTGTCCCCAGGGAATCACCACGCTGACGTGGGATCTGAACAAAGCTCCTCACAAATCCTCTGTGGAAAGGCAGCTCTAGTGCAGCATTTATAACCTTTAAAATTTTAATTTAAACATTGACAAAACCACATTACTTTCTAATTAAATCCCATTTTCTCCCAGGGATTTTAATTTTGAAGTAATTTATCAGATTTAAGGATCCTCAAAACATTTTGCATGTTTTTCTTCCTAACCTGCCATGCCCACTGATTTATTTTCCTTATTCATTAGCAGGAGGATTCATTAGTCATTAAGTGAGTGGGTGGGTTGGAGGGAGGAGGGGGGGATAGGAAATAAAAATGGTTAGTGATCATGAAAACAAAAAAAAAATCAGAGCTGTAAGAAGCATATGTCGGGATCGTAATCCTGACACCTCTGTGTCTCAGCAAAGCAGCCAGTAATTGTAGCATAATGAAATGTTCTTGTTTGATAACAAGTTAATTAGAGAAGACAATTACTGCAAACCCCGCTGACGCCCACGAGCGGCTCCGTGTCGCGCAGGCACTGAGTGACAGCCGGAGCTGTTCTCTGTCACCTCTGCATCCCAGCCCTCCTGCTCCAGCAGGAATCCTGCTCCCCAAGCCTGGGGAATGAGGGGAAGAGCCCAAACTCTCCCCCAAAAATTCGAGTGGTACATTGAGCCCAAGTAGGAGGGTCTCTGCTGCAATACCTGGAGGAGTTTGGGGCGTTTTGCTTCATAATAAAGGTAAAACATCAGGAGAGGAGAGATGGGAAGTGCAGGAAAGGTGTCCAGGAGGAAAGCTGGGGGGGAAGACCAAGAGGAGCCACCATGATGTAGCAAAGGGGTGATCCTCTGTATGTAGGAACAGAAGCAAAATAGGCTTAAATTACACCAAGGGAAATGTTGGGTAAGCACTGGGAAGGCTTGGGAGCAGTAAGGGTAATTAAGCATGGGAAGACATTGCCTAGGGAGATGTGTAATCTCCACCACTGAGGGTTTAAGAACAGATTAGGAACACATCCATCAGGAATGGCTTAAGTAGAGATGATCCTGACTTCAGGCATCAGTATGGGCTGGTTGACCTCTTAAGTCTCTCCTTGCCCTTCTTTCTATGATTCCACGACTGGTTTTTTCTTCTCCTAAATGTGTAAATTTGGTTTTTATTCTGCTTGTAAGTCTGCAGGGTTTTTCTTGTAACTATTATACACTTTCCTGCAAGATATGTCTTGAGATCACCATAACTTATGGCTTATGCACGAGATGTCTCAAAGCACATCCTCCCTGCCACATTCCCCTTTCTCTCCACATATCCTTACCACAGCCACTGGAAAGGCAAATAGGAAACACGGACAGGTTATCCTTATTTCTTCCCAGATCCTCCTTTCCTCCTTGCATCCCATTCTGTATGCCCTTCAAGACTTCTTCTGTCCCTCCCACCATTAAAACCAACCAGCCCAAGCTACACTTCCAGAAAAAAGCCTGTGGTCTGGATTGTAAGTCTTGAGGTCAACAATCCTGAGGGTACCTCCAGGCAAGACCTTGGCTGTGGGAACTATTTGCATTGTTTCAGGAGAGCTCCTGCTTTATCCTGGTGGAGACACAGTGCTGGGAAGCAATTCCTTTGGAGAATGAATGGAAGAGCCTGCAATGAAGCAGGAATTGCCATTGGTTAAAGCATCCTGAGAGATTCCTGCTCTCCACTGCCTCAACTTCATGGGGTGGTGTGGCATTCACATTCTCTGAAAAATCCTTTCACCCAGGATTTTTTCTCCTGGGAAGCTGTGAAGCCTCAGAAAAAAGGAAAACAATTCTTATCT